TATTAACAGTGAATTCTTTGCATTTCTTATGGTTCTAGGGGCCTCATGTACAGTATATAAATATATATTGTGACATTTATGCATTTCAGTTCTCTATTATGTTTTGAAACTTTCTTTGCTATTTTTTCACATCAGTTTATATTATTATTATTATTTTAACAATGTCCTAGTGATGTCTTTCTCAGTACTTCAACTGTCCTTTCCTTCTTTTATTTTTCTCTTTCATGGATGCCATGTTCTTTGGAAGCTTGTTTAGACCAAGTTAATGGTCTTTTAGACTTCCTCCACGTGAATAGGAGCTCGCTTTTTGAATAATAAGAATTATATGTCATGGGGGGGGGGGGCATCAGGATTTTAGAGTTGTGTAGGTGGGGCATGGCCAGAAAAAGGCTGGGAACCACTGCTCTAGACAGACGTTCCACACACGGATCAGGGGAGGGACTTACAATAGGGCTCAGTGTGTGAGTGCATGGACTGGGCATTGCGTGGGACCATCACATTTAGATATTGTTACCTGTCATTTGAACATGGTCACACGCCTCATAAGGACTTTTGGTCAAGTTGGACCACATGGAACCCCACCCCCATAAGATCGCCATGGAGCAGGGAAATCCTACAGATGTGCTGACGTCACAGCCGTGCTGACATCACAGCCGTCCAAGGTCGTAGAGTCGTTACCCACATGTGTGTCCCAGGCACAGTGCCCACACCGGGAGCCAGGTGTGCCGCCCGCAGGATGTCTAGGTGAGTGTCAGGGCCTCTGATGTTGGCGCAATGACAAAATCACCTCACAACGCATTTCTCTGGCCGCGTCCCTGTCTTAAGCCGCGTGTGCTGGTGCAGGGGCAACAGGATGCTCACCTGTACTGTGTTTGCTGCTGTCCCCTCCACGACCCCACCCGAGCCTCTAATTGAGCCTCTAAGTTCAGGGTCGCAGCAGAAGCAGCTGCTGACACAGCTCAGCATCGTTGTGGTATTGGCCTCAGTCGGTTACTCGGCAAACCGCACTGGCTTCCTTGATGGGCAGATCGAGGGTCAAGGCTGCAATGCTCCCGTCCGACTCACTTCTAATGCACGATTAGAGGCAGGCCTCCACGCTGTGTCCCGGAAAGCAATCTCCCTGCCTCTTTTGTTCTTTAGGGCGTTTTCACGCTTCCTTTGAGCAGCAACATCAGCAGGGACACCTGGCGCCGCATCTAAAAGGCGCTGGGACTACACGATGGTTAGTGTGTCTCCCTCGGGGACAGATGGCCTCATTCGTGGGAAACATTTATGGGGGTGCCAGGCCCTGGGACACCTCCTGTGAGCGCCTGGGCTGGTCTAAGAGGCACACCCGTTTGCTACGTTGATGCTGTTCTCTGTTTGCTGTGGGTTAGGAACGTGAGGCCCTGGCGCAGTGCGAAGACTCCCCCTGCTCACAGCCACCCCTTCCTCTCCGCCCTCCCGATGACAATCGGCACTTTCTCCTCGGCCCCTGCCCTTACCTCAGCCCAAACTCGGCAGGAGGAAG